CAAAAATATTTAATATGTGCGTGCAAGTGGGGAATATACGGTGTTGACAAGATTAGCTTATAAGTATCATTGCTTTTTTTGAAAATGTCAATCGTGTTCATATTTTTTAGGGTATTTATTTTTTTGATTGAAAATTTATTGATAAGTTTTTGAGGATAGTTGTTAGCAAGAAGAAATTTATTAACTAATTTCTAATTATCATTATCAAATAAAGTGTCTGTTTATTTAAAAAAATGTCTACTAATGTATAAATGATACCTATTGTATGTTGTATTGGATTGTGAAAGAGAAAATGGAAGTATCGGCCTGAATGTGTGGGTTTTTGGTACCAATTAGTTAGCACTGTGTTATTTTGTTTAATTATAAATTTTAAATGCAAGAAACTTATGCTGTTGTTGTTGCCTGTCTAAAAAGTTAAATGTAATTCCAGACAACAGCTATTAAAAATTTTTTCAGTATAGTTAGTATATTTAGTAGGCACGCATATGAGAATATCATCTTCATACCGCACGTACAATGGAACATCCAAACATAACTTCTCTTAGCATGAAATTTCAAGCAAACGTATAACAAGATCATATTATAGTACTGAACTACAGGGATTCCCCATCAAAGAGCCAAAAACTGATTTCTAAAATTTGTTGTTAAAATGAAAAAAATGTTTAATTCAAATTAAAGATACACCAGCCCAAAATTCATTAAGAGAAACATTGATTTCACTATTCAAGAATTTCCAAAAATGTCTTATTGCATTTATGATTAAGGCTTTACTAGTATCAGTTAATGAACAAACAACATCTAGACTAATAATATTGTCACCAGGTAAAATATTAATATCTTTTAATTCACATTTCAACTTATAACTACTTTTTAACGTGTGATTTCGCCAGTAGAATATTCTGAACCAAAAAATTAAAAAGAAATTTTGAAAAACTACAAGTAGGATAATTTAGTATCAAGACACTGATACATATAAAAGACTCTTTTTTTTTTGTATTCTTATTAGCCCACAGAATTTGGATAAGTTTCTTTTCTGAATATCTTTATCAAACTTATTTTATTTATCAAAAATACCGTATTAATTTTATTTGCTTACAAAATTTTTAGTATCTTCAAGTAATTACTTTAAATGATTATCTTGTTACGTACGATATGCCGGGCATATCATACTGACTCACCCTAGTAACTACAAGCCTATGCTAGTAAAGGACACCAATAGGGGAAACGAGCTTAGATAAGGCCCTGCGAGACACAAATTGGGGCACTCGAGCATCTTTTAGGCAAGAGACCGAACGATAAGTAGAAAACACCGCGCGACACACACACTTGCCTCTGCCTTCAAGAAGCTAATAAATAATCGACTAACGAGTTGAGTTTTTTTCGTGACGCACCTCCTTACTAGCTTCTCAATCCTACATTACAGTTTTGGTGCTAAGTGTGGGGTATGGTGAGAGACGGAATTTTTTTTTCTCGCTTATTTTACTCGTTTAAAAAAAAAAATTCCGCCGAGAAGCACACACAGTGCAGTTCCACGAAAATCGAACTTGAGTGCCGGAACGGACCCAAATAGGACAGAGGTAAAAGAGTAGCTGTTCATACGAGCGATTCTCGACATCAACGATCGGGAAGTCTACAAACAGAACCGGGACCCCGGGACCCCGGGACAAAATATATAAAACTTTGCGTGATAAACATCAAAAAAAGGGATCTTATTAGTGGGCTCGCACATATATAGAAAATATTCAAAAATAATTATATAATAATAATAACCCGCACCCATATAAATCACTATTTTCAATACCACAATTTTTATTAATAAAAACAGACTACAAATATTCTCAAAAGAATATTTTGTCCTCTGTATCACTAAACGAAGAGAGAGTACAAAATTAAAAGAAACCGAGTAAAAGACACACTCTGCTCCTTTACTTTCTTGTCTTGCCTCTTACTATTCTTTTCGCGCGATTATTATTAAGCCACTCTATACGTAATTAAACGTTGCCTTGTAATTAGGAAAATACATAAGCTTTGCAATAATCAAAAAGAAAATACGTTTCGCGACACGTACAAAAAAAAAGAGGGAAAAAATAGGGAAAAAAAATGATTCATCCTGGCCGCATTACCCATAAGTCAGGAAGCGAGAACGAAGGCCTAGATAACACGATAATCAACACGTGCAGGCAAGACCCTAGCAATAAAAAACAAAAGAAAAATATGGCGGAACAGATGTTAGAATTAGAACTTAAACCAGAAGGGTGCAAGAAACTAGACGCCCTCGATGAAAGGACGAAGGCAATAGTAATGGGCCTATTTTCAAAAATTAGTGCAAAGCTAAGGGAGACAGAGGAAGTGGACATGCCATTTATAGCGACCACAGGGCCCATCCGAAATTTGTCACCAACAAATAGGGACTTTGACTACATACAACGCGACGTAGGAGTAAGCATAGGACCCGCAAATAAAGAAGTGAGTCTTATCTCCGGTGAATGAGCCATTGGGGGAAATATAACAAGGGCCGAAGAAACAAGCGGAGCTTGAATGGATAGAGTAGACACCCTACCAATACAATGGGGCATGCCGGGAAAACCAGAATGGCCGATTTCCGGTGCATCACAGTACGAAAGCGATGAGTCAAGAAAAATCGGAGCAAGCGACTTAAACAACCAACAGCTATGGGATAGAATAAAGGATACGAGTGAAGAACTCGAAAAAATGATGAAAGCCGCGTGTATGGCAACGGCACCACCACCAACTAATTATCATACAGATCGGGTCAATTTTAACGCGAATAAGGATAGACGATGGGGTGACATAATACCGACCATGACCCCATGCATAGAAAAGGAACAAGAGACAAGCAATAACGACCACCTACGCAGACCACTGTATGCGCAACACAACATTCTGTCCATGCTCAGCAATATGACAAACAACATCCCGTTTTTTGATGGTGACCCGATCAACCTACCGCTGTTCAAAAGAATGGTACGTACAACAGGCCCAGAAAACAAACTTTTTTTTTGGGCACCCTCGCAAATAAAAGTTCATCAAAGAGCTTTCAAACAGATACTGCAGTATTAATAATGCAGACTCGCTCATAGCAAAATAGAAAATAATAACGCAGCAAGATAGTAAAGCAATAAATGACTACGGGGGACTAGTACAAAAATTATGCAATAGATTAACAATGTTGTACGATTCAAACCCATACTTTCCCCCAATTCAAAAACAGGCAATGAAGGCAAACCTAGAATCCGAGGCGGTAAAACAGTTTATTTACGGATAACTTCTAACTTTTATAAGCAATAATTCAGGCGTTGAAAATTGAAAGTGACCTTAGTTTACGGCATGCAATACCGGTAAGCGCACTGCCAACATGCAATAGGACAACAACAGAGTGGAGACCACTCGTAAACCTAGCAAGAAAAGAAGAAAAAACAGCAGAAAATACTAAGGGAGTACAAGGAACAGCAGCAGTAAAAGAAAAACGCTGTATATACTGCGACGGCCAAACCGGGCATTTATTTGAGGAATGCCGAAAGCTACTAGCGGTGATAAGTAATAGAAAAGCTTTGAAAGAAAACGGAAGGGAACTGAGGGGAAATTTCAATTATTGTCAAAAATCGGGACACTATGCGAGAGACTGCCACTCGCGCAAGCAAGACAGGGAGGAAGAGGAGAGACAGCGTAACGAGAGGCGTAAGCAACCCGCAAATAATACTCCTACTGACAGTAATGCCTATAACTACAGGGGTAGGAATAATAACTATAATAACGATAATTATAATAATTACGACAGGGGTTATGACAATGGCCCAACGGAGCCATACAATAGTAACAACAATCACAATTACAGATATAATGATTACAACTCCAGAGGTTATAACTATTACGACAACCGTGGCAACGGTGACGCGTACAACAATTACAGCAGGGGCACATTCAACCGCTATGGTAACGGTTACAGAAATCAGGAAAGCAGGGATGGCTATAATAGGGATCTAGTTAGGCACGGGCCACCACAGGAGAGGGGCCCACAGCAGCGAGAAAGCGCCGCATACACTCCAGATAACAGGAGAGACCCTCCCGTAGCTTTAAACTTGCGTGGTCCCCAAGCGTCGAGCATCAACTACAGAAATAGATAGAGAAAAGTGTGTCCGGTGAGGAAGAATGTGTGAGAGAGAGGCCGCAAAAGGCGGTGAAAGAGATAGTAGAGAAGAAGACGCACAACGACAGTCCGAGTACTTACACAGTGCAAAAAAAAATAGAAAGTAATACGGCAGAGCAGGATAACACTCCAATAGAACGGAGTAGTAAACGCACAAGGAAAGGCAGGAGAGCCCGCAATAAGAGTAATCGGACAAAGGCGCCGGACACACAAGCTTTCAGAGCGCGACGAAGAAATAGAGCAGCTTCCCAAGATAACTATAAAACTCGCGAGAACAGGGCATAGGCCACCATCGGTCCAGTTACAGGGACCACAGTTAAAGAATGGAAAGGCGACTTTTTATGTGGATACAGGCACAGAGATTTCGATTGTAAAGGTTAATTTTCTAAGCACAGACATGCTAATAGACAGTAGGTATCGAGTAGCTATTATCGGCTTGACTTACGGTGCACGCAAAACGTTGGCCACAGTATAGGCTCAGTTGCATGGATTAGAGTGCACATTACATGTAGTCCCTCTTTCCCTCTCGGTGAGTTGTTGAATGGTCGTGTTTTCTTGTGCTCCTCATTATTGGATTGTGTATTTGCTCTGTTTTGCCTGCGGGCACTTTGTTGCAGGTTTCTTGCATGCACTATACTGCATATCATCTGTACGAATGTTAGCAGTGTCGTGCGGATTCAACTTGCTCTTCAATTTACTTTGCATACTTGTTCTTTTAGATATTTTCAATGCCTTATTGCAGACTGGTTATTTCCCTTCAGCCTGGAGGAGGGCCATAGTAATAAAACGGCAGCCAGCGTTAACGCCTGATTTATTTCGTCCCATCAGTATCATGAGTGCATCCTGCAAACTTTTCGAGGCGTTGGCATACAAAAAAATGCTTTCTTTTGTTGAGGATAATTCCCTGCTCCATTCACTTCAGTCAGGATTCCGAAAAAGACACAGCACCAGTACTGCACTGGTTAAGATTGTTTATGATTTGAAATTGGCGATCGATAAGAGGCAGGTGACTCTTCTGGTGTCTGTGGACTTCACGAAGGCCTTCGACCTTGTCAATGTTCAGCTGCTGATTAATAAGCTTGAGGCTCTTGGATTTTCTGATATGGCATGTCTCTGAATATTGTCCTATCTGACTAATCGCACCCAAGTAGTTCGCGCCCCTGATGGAGAACTTTTGCAGGCGCTATTTCGTTCAAGTCGTGTACCACAGGGCAGTATTCTGGGCCCCCTACTGTTCACATTATTTGCTAATGAGCTTCCCGACATCTGCTCTAACATCAGTACGCACCAATATGCTGACGATTTTTTCATATACGCATCGGGTAGTGGCGAGGAGGTCGGGATGATTGCGGACAGAGTTGGTGCTGTGCTGGATGCGGTCTCTTCCTGGGCAACGGTTAATGGTCTGGTAATTAATTGCAGTAAGACCAAGGCGGTATAATTTGCCTCCAGAGCTTACTTGCGCAAGATTCGGGCTTCAGTTGATCCACCTACTCTAATTATGGGCAATGTTCCGCTAGAGTTTTCATCAGAGATTACTGTGCTTGGTGTTGTCCTGGACAGTGAACTTACACTCAGAGCTCATTGCACTGCGGTTTCCAGGAAGTGCTTTGGCACATTATCGTGTCTTCGAAGATGCAGAGATTGTTTGCCGGTGGATACTCAGCTGCTGCTTGTCAAGCTGCTAGTTTTTCCTCATCTGGAGTACTGCGCGTCTCTTTTCTTGGGCATCTCTGGTGAAATGAGACGCAAGCTTGAACGATGCAAAAACGCTGCACTGCGCTTTGTAGATGGTACGCCCAAGTGGTATTACATCACGCCTGTGTACGAAAAGTACTCGATTGTGAGTCTGAAAGGTAAAACTAAATATGTCACCATTTGTCTACTTGTCTCGGTCATGCGCTACAAGGTCCCGGGGTACGCTATAAGGTCCCGGGATGTCAACATCAATTTTCGAGCTGCTCGTGCTAAGTACTCTGAAAGGTTGTCCGTATCTGACCTTATAGTTCCCTGGGCCAGAACCAAGTCTTATAGATGCAGCTTTGCGGTGGGAGCGGCAAGATTGCGGAATAATCTACCAGTCAGGCTTCGGAAAAGGCTGCTTCATCCAACTTCAAGATCGACCTCTTGCAATCTTTGGAATCAATAGATTTGCAGCTCAATTGAGCGATGTAATATTACAATTAATTATTTTGTTTATTTACTGCACTCCAGTATTGAATTTTATATTATTTTTATTTAAATTTTATGTTAAATTTATCTATACTTTTTTCTTCTCTTATCTTAGTTACTAATATGCACTAAATTAGACACACAGCTTGAATCTCAAACTATGTAAGTGGGCCTGCGTGCCTACTATTTCCGCCAAATGTAAGGCAATATATTAAACTTTGGATATTAAGGACCCTGAGTCCTTAGCCTCAATAAACTATTCAATTCCATTCAATTCAATCGGCGTGACTTACAGAGCACGCAAAACGTTGGGCACAGTACAGGCTCAGTTGCACGGATTAGAGTGCACATTACATGTAGTCCCCCATGACTTTCCAATTGACATGGAAGGAATCATAGGGTGGGATATTTTTAAGCGATACCGGGGCCAGATAAGCGCCGCCGAGAATACGATTAAATTGGATAGCGTAGAGATACCACTGGTAAGGCCGGAGTGTTTTAAAATACCTGCGAGATCGAGGCAAATAATTCATGCGCGAATAAGAAAAAGCAAAAATAATTTAGAAAATGGCTGGATACCCCTCCAAGAAATGGAGGAAGGAATACTGTTCGGGAACTTTATAGCCAAGAATGTTAATGGTAAAATAGTCGCTGAGTGCATTAATACAAGTAACAAAATAAAATATGTGCCTGTTCCAGAAGTAGAGCTGCTAGAATATGAGGAATTTTACCGGAAGCGCGCAGAGAACGTCGAAGGGGACAACGTTGAAAGCTTTGGGGAAGCAATAATAAAATTATTTACTAATGAAAAAAGAGATAACAAGAAAAAAATTGAAATTTTTACAAAAGACAAAGAAGAGTTAGAGAAACAAAAACGGGTAAATAAGATAATGCAACTCGTAGATACAGCTGGTAGCAACCATGAAGAAAAAGAACATGTAGGAAATCTAATCGAGTCAAATAAACAAGGAGAGCTGAACATACATGATTTATAAGAGGGAAGGTCCAATGAATTACGGGCTCTAGCAATAATTGGCATGAAAATGCAAGATGTAGAGGGGAGGCCAGGAATGAGGATTGACTTGTGGGAGCCTAACGGAAAGCGCATAAGGCCCCACCTGAACCACCACCCCCGCCGGATCCTTAAAGCAACTGTAAGCTATTGACTGAAGAGAATACAATGACGATAGTTATAACAATATTAATAATATTTATAATAATGATAGTAATATTATTGATAGTAATTATAATAATAATGATAGTAATAAATGATATTAAATAATAATGACAGAAGAAATACAGGATATAAGAAAAATAAAGCTAGTATACCGACATAGTATATTGTATAGGAAGACAAAATAAACAGAAACATACGTGTATAATACATATATGTAGCAACAAACGTTAGTTTTCATGAATTCGCGGCCCTCGAACGAGCCGCAAGTAAGCAACAAATCAAACGAAAAGAAAATATGAAATAAGTGATTGCTGCGCAACCAACAGATATTCAACAAAAATTTAGATTTCTAAAATTTTCGCGGCCCCCAGACGCAGCGTGAAAATATAACAAAAAGAGTGGAATTAATTAGGTTTACGATAAAACTTTTTTCGCGACCCCGGACGCACCGCAAACTAGATATTCATGTACGTTCGACATAGATTTGCAAAAAAAAACAACAACTATAATGGAAAGGTACGCATGAACAAAGCATTAATAATATTAATTATTGTAAGTTGATGTAACGTGAATGAAAAAAAAGCAAAGCGAATAAGGGGCGCGAGTGGCACTCTCTAGTGAGTAGACGTACTCAATAGGAATAGAATTTACTCACAGGCCAAATGTAAAAATTATGGATGGTAAAGACAAATAAAAAGGAAAAAACAGACTTACAAGCTGACATAAAATTGTAAATTAAAATAATTTTATTCTTGATTACCCGATTGACTTCATTATTGAAAAAAAATATCAAAAAAAACAAATAAATAAAAATCTTAGCAATCATTGTTAGGTAGAGAGGAGCATGGAGGAATGATGAAAAATAAATAAAACAATTTCAGGAAAAATAAAACTTTTTTTTGAAAAGGCCCACGAGCCCACGTAGAGTGTAAGAGATTAAACCTCATCTTCTAACATTCTTCTATCGTTCTCTATTAGAAACAATCCCACTTCTACAATTATGATATACTAATAACCACAACACCTGAAACGCCACACATAATCGTAACGGGAAATAGAATTGACTGCCATGTCTAAATTAACGAATAGCCCGTTCGTCAAACCGTCCACCTCAAAGTTAGCATAATTTTGCAAAAACTACATGGACCAATACTTAATCGTTCATGTGAGGGAGACTAAAAAAAATGCACCCAGATCACCGCTTGACGATCGAGAGGAAGAATCGACCACACCCAGTGTGCGGCAGTGTTTCTGAGAACTTGGCCATCGAAGGACAACGTTACTAGGCCACCCTCATTCAAACAGGGTTGTCGATATTGGAGAGAAGGCATGCGAATCTACAACCCACATGCTTCACTGAAAAAAAATGAAAGACGCTTGCAATCACATAAGCTGTCACTTACATAACGACATTGCGCAGCAGTGTACACGAGCTGCTCCTGCTTTTGCAAGAAAGAAAAAAATAAAATTGCATCCATAAGGACCACACACGGAGATTCTACTGGCGCAAAAAGAAAAAAATCACACTGTGACGCAAGTAGAGTTGAAGCTCAGCTTTGAAAACTCAGTCACCACCCAAATATCTTAAAAAGTACACTTTCTCTAGACATTAGAGAGGATAAATGAAAGCTTTGTTGTAAAAAAAAAAAAAAAAATATCGAAAAAGCAGCGAACTAAGTCAGCAAATACGTCTATGGCGTCGAGAGTGGTAGTTGACAAAAAAATACCCTTATAAATCCTTTCCGAAATCTGACCACAGAGAAAAAAAGATTAGAGGAGTATGAGGAAAACATTATATAAAAAAATGTATGGATAAAAAGTATTAGAAATATGTACAATACGGATCAAAACTTCACGGCCAGAAAATAATTTTTTTTTATTGATACCTCCAAGCTTGTATTGACCAAAAAAAAATACTAGTGAAATGTAAGGCAACCAATCGTCGAATTATTTAACTCTACAGTGTTCTTGAATATGTTATATGACCCCTCAATTAAAATGCAGCACATAATATTATATCCGACTATTCACAAACTCAATAAGCGACTTATATGGGCACGTAGAGCCGATGCGAAATAAAAGATAACGTAATGAAACATATTTACGATGGAGAATTTTTTTAACTAAGAGAAAAATATCCACATTGACAAAGACACTACAATAAATTACAACAATTATACAAAAAAGTAAAGAAAGAGAATTAAAAGATATCCGTTTATTATTATATACTTTATATGTAAAGAGAGCCACACTCACAGCTCAACGCTAACCAAATAAAGGGGAAACATAAGAGAAAGGGTAAGGTACATACGATAATACATTTAAATAAATACCTCTTGATGGAGTATAAATAGTGTTAGAACAAGTATTTACCACAGAAATCAGGGTTGGCAACTAATAGCTAACAGCTTCATATATTACAGGGTTAATAAATTTGGCATGGGGCTTCTTTTTCTTAAGTATAAGTGCCTTCTCCATCGGGGGGGCCCTACTCCTAATATGTTATAGAACGTTCACAGGGAAACAAAAGGTTTAAGAAGAAGCACGAGAATTGGCAGTAATTCAAACCACACCGACAGTAAAACTCAGAGCAGAAAGGTAACTGCAATCCTCTAGACGGATACTAGAATTGTTGGTGACCGTGATACAAAATTAAAATTCGTGAGCACCGGGAGTCGCTAGAGTATATCAGAGGGCGCAGTCCGAAGGATAAAACTATGAAACTATGAGAGAATTTTTTTTTTAATATGTAGTGTCAAAAAAATCAATGTTAAATTGGCATGAAAATGCAAGATGTAGAGGGAAGGCCGGGAATGAGGATTGACTTGTGGGAG